CCGTACTGCTATCTCGATATGAAGAAGACGTGGACGATGGCCAACTCGATCAAGCGCCAAGCGAGGTGCGACACCAGTATGACGACCAACGGCGCTGTGTATTTGGAGACAGTGCTTCGCAACATTGATTTCGGTATCTTCTACAGCTGCTGGGGCAATGGCTTTGACATTGGCATTGGCGCCGAGCTCCAGTTGTCATCAGAAGGTCGCGCTTGGCTGGCAATGGTCTCTGGTGCGACTCCGCAGCTAAGTACGAGTGACGAAGCTCTCTACTGGCGGTCGTTTGGTCTCACTTCGTTTGAGACACAGTGGCAAAACTACAAGCAGCTTGGTGTGCGCAACAGCTACTCGATCATCAACGCATTTGGCATTGCGTATCCGCTCACTCTAGTGTCTCAAGCGGGTTCATACCGTCGCGGCAGTCAGACAACATACAAAATGTACTGGTCGCTGGCCAACGATCTCTCGGCCGTCGCCATGAACACATCCGGCATCGGTGGTCTCAGTCTTCTACGGTCCAGTGCCAACTACGCCTTTGCAAACACCTCGCTCTTCAATGTATACGCCATCAACGGCACGTTGGCGTCACCACTACCGCCAGGATCCCAGCTCACAACGTCGCTACTGGGACCGTTTGGCTCGATCGACATGGTCTATGTACCACCACCACCGAAAGTGCAACAGCTCATGTCGACGCTATTGGAGCTGACACGGGCACCGCTGGCAGGCACTTTAGCGGTCCAAGCTGCCTACTACAACATTACACCGCTGGATATTTCGTACCCCGTGCCCGGGGCATGGCTGGCGCTGCCGTACCCGGCGTCCTATGGCGGGTCGCCGCTGTGCCCCGACATAACAGCGTCGCGGCTCATGACCGCAGGGCTCTTCGCCATCGTCTCGTACGACGCTATTTGTCTCTCGGCGTCCGGCACGACGGCGCGCATCCAACCTACGCGGCAACACTACGTTTTGAGTGCGCTCATGGCGCAGCTCGACAGCAGCACCAACATGACGCGCGTGTGCGCCCACGACGTGGCGTACGTCCTGCAGTGTGCCGTGTACCTTCGGTCGACGGTATCCTACATCAATTCCTACGTGCCCCAATCAGAGGCGGTCCGCGCTTCGATCCTCGACATACGCGACACCGTGCGCGCGCTCGACATTTCATTTTTGCTCTTTTTCCGCGACAATGCGTCGACGCCCGTGCTCCAGCTGCAGTCTC